TCTATCATGTTTTGCTCTATTTGGTTTACCCGCCTTCCGCCTAAATGCTGGATTGACACGTGCGCTCTCTCTCCGTGTTGTATACTGATATATGCGTTCTAAAGTATTGTATTTCATTCGGTCTAAGTCTAAGATGACTTTGTAACAAAGTCGAAAATTTACAGTCTCAATCTGTGTCTTGTTTGAATTATATTTTGATTCTCAAGATGTCTTGTTTATTCGGATTTTAATTTTTACTTATCATAGAACCGTACAACCTTAGAACCGTATAACCATAGAAACATAGAACCGTAGAACCATAGAACCATAGAACCGTAGAATTATAGAACCATGGAACCATAGAACCGTATAACCGTAGAACCTAGAACCTTAGAACCATAGGACCAGAGAACCATAGAACCGCAGAACCATAGAACCATAGAACCGTAGAACCATAGAACCGTAGAACCGTAGAACCGTAAAACCATAGAACCGCAGAACCGAAGAACCATAGAACCGTAGAACCATAGAACCACAGAACCGAAGAACCGTAGAACCGTAGAACCGTAGAACCGTAGAACCTAGAACCGTAGAACCATAGAACCGTAGAACCGTAGAACCATAGAACCATAGAACCATAGAATCATAGAACCATAGAACCGTAGAACCATAGAACCGTAGAACCATAGAACCACAGAACCAAAGAACCATAGAACCGTGAAACCGTGAAACCGTGGAACCATAGAACCATAGAACCATGGAACCAAAGAACCATAGAACCATAGAACCGTAGAACCGTAGAACCATAGAACCGTAGAACCGTAGAACCGTAGAACCATAGAACCGCAGAACCATAGAACCGTAGAACCGCAGAACCGTAGAACCTAGAACCGTAGAACCATAGAACCATAGAACCGTAGAACCATAGAACCATAGAACCAAAGAACCATAGAACCATAGAACCATAGAACCGTAGAACCGTAGAACCATAGAACCATAGAACCATAGAACCTAGAACCATAGAACCGTAGAACCATAGAACCATAGAACCATAGAACCTAGAACCATAGAACCGTAGAACCTAGAACCATAGAACCGTGGAACCATAGAACCATAGAACCTTAGAACCATAGAACCATAGAACCGTGAAACCGTGGAACCATAGAACCATAGAACCATGGAACCAAAGAACCATAGAACCATAGAACCGTAGAACCGTAGAACCGTAGAACCATAGAACCGTAGAACCGTAGAACCGTAGAACCGTAGAACCATGGAACCGCAGAACCATAGCACCGTAGAACCGTAGAACCATAGAACCGTAGAACCGCAGAACCGTAGAACCTAGAACCGTAGAACCATAGAACCATAGAACCGTAGAACCATAGAACCATAGAACCATAGAACCAAAGAACCGTAGAACCATAGAACCATAGAACCGTAGAACCATAGAACCATAGAACCATAGAACCATAGAACCATAGAACCTAGAACCGTAGAACCGTAGAACCTAGAACCATAGAACCATAGAACCATAGAACCTAGAACCGTAGAACCGTAGAACCGTAAAACCGTAGAACCATAGAACCGTAGAACCGTAGAACTGTAGAACCTTAGAACCTAGAACCATAGAACCATGGAACCATAGAACCGTAGAACCATAGAACCATAGAACCATAGAACCGTGGAACCATAGAACCATAGAACCATGGAACGGTAGAACCATTGAATGGTAGCATTATATTATTAGGGCTTATAATTATGCATTACATATTTAATTAATTATTATAATATATTTCGTGACTCGTAACATGGCCTTATAACCATTTGTGTAGGTTACCCCCCCCCCCCGGCCCCATATAGCGTGGACCCAGCCAGTGGCGTAGCCAGAACGATAATTGGGGGGGCCAATATTAATATATTCGTGATACGCAGGTTTAATTTCTTTTCAAATTAATTGTCTTTACAGTCTGTTAACATGAATATATGAATATGGGCCCCCCGAGTAATCGATGCTGGCTACGCCACTGGACCCAGCACGGAACGTCGGAAACTATAGAATTTTTCCGAAGATGTGCGTAGTCTCCACGCGCGAGTAGAATAACGCGCGGGCGCGAGGAATGGGATAAACATGCAATGAAGCAATGAAGCGTAAATACGCACGATATGTTTGTTTGACACCAATTTACTCAAGTTACACAATTGCTGGTTCATTTATCACACCGTAAGAATTTGCGAAGAGTATATTTTATTTTACTAGGGTTACACATTTGTATGACAATATTTAGTACCATTAGGGGCTGTTTACATGAGCCCGGTTAGCCAAGATTCAACGAAGCGTGACAGGACATCGAGGTATTGAAATAAGTCTTTATGACACCAAACAAGCACATGCTATTGTTATGCGGCCGGTTGTTCGAAAGGTGTTTAGCTAATTAAACGGTGGATAAGCCAAAACTTAAAAGTACTCTCATACATCTTATGAATGACTGAACCTGCATTTTATGCATTAAACATGTACTTTCATTGAAAATTAAGCTATTTACATCGAAATATTCCAGCTCATTTGTCCAGTAAAGAGATCATTTTATTTTTTATTTTGAACTTATCCACCGTTTAAGCTAAACGCCTTTCGAACAACTGACCCATGGTGATTATTCGACTGCCAAGCTCATGTTATCTGTTCATTTTAATACCTCAAAATCATCTCACGCTTCGTTGAATCTCGGCCGGTAACCGGGCTCATGTAAACAGCCCCTCAGACTAATGTTCATTTTAAAGATTCGTTTTCTATGCATGCTTTGTGATACAGTTCAGTTCATACGTTAACCTTGATTTAATTGTCCTCATATCATAATGTTAATATGCCGTTGACATCCAAAATCGGTATCCATTTTTCTTTTGCCAGTCCTTTTAGAATTTTATTTTTTCAAGACTGGTGAGACACATGTCGATACGCTGTACAAGTTCGTCCTTTCATGAGAATATGATGATGGCTGTCATAATGTCCACGGATTGGATTGTATATGGTAAAATTATTATTATTGAGTTTAGTTAAATAGTATATTCAAGGTCGGACGTCTGAGGAGACATCTAAGCTTGTCATCGGGACGCACGAATCATTTTCATACATCAATTTTCATATTATCGAGTTACTCAAAAATATTAAATATTCTATATATGTTTTGTGATGAACTGTTCTCGTTACTTGTAAAGAATTCTATTGTTGTTTCATCTGTGTACTTGCATGGAATATGAGGTGGAACATCGGTTACAAATTTTGTGCGATGAGCAGATGAGCAGATGCTCGTAACCTCCGTAACTGCTCATGAGCAGGTGCTCATCTGCTCAATGAGATATTTCATACCCACTTGAAATTTTTATTGATAAAATGAAAATGTAGCTATGAACTAGCGGCCGGAAAGAAGAAAATTTCAGACATGGATTAAAGATTTTAACATTTTTTTGTCTTGCAATTAGTTACAGCAACAAATAATAATTTCTTCTAAAACGTTTTATTATTTTTTTTGCTCGTTTGCCATGCTTTCCTCATCGAAACCTCTGTTTATGAGGCTTTCTTTCATTTCTGCGAAAGTTGTGTTACTTCTTTGTTTTGCTTCTTCTATTAGTGGTATCCTAAGAGTCAGTCGCCGTCGAACTTCCAGACTGCCGAGAAGAAGTTGTTGAGACATCGTCACGGAAATCTCTTTCTGTCCGAGTCTGTTTGGGACATGTTTTTTTCTTGTTCTCGTAATGGACAGTATTTCCCGTTCGTGTCTACGCTGATTGTAACCGCGATTAATTGTAAACGTCGCCCAATTTTCGCCTTTAGTTTCATCAGTCACTTCCAGTACCTCTAGTTATATTCACCACAATTCGCGCGACACAAAAACGTTTTCATGCGGAGCAGTTAATGCTTCAGACGCTCTTCGCAGTAAGTTAGCTGAAGTCATCGATCCTTCATTAAGTGCGCATGAAAAAAAGAAACTCGAACGGTTACTTTTGGATTATACGGACGTGTTTAATTTCAGACAAACTCGGACATCTCGACGTAATTAGTCACCAGATTGCTACGGGCACCCCCACCCCATCAAGCAACGTCTTCGCCGCTTACCATATACTTATAGAGAGGAGGCAAGTAGACATGTTAAAGAAATGCTTGATCAAAACGTGATTCAACCAAGTACTAGTGCATGGGCTTCGCCTGTTGTTTTAGTCCGCAAGAAGGACGGTCAACTACGCTTCTGTGTTGACTATCGCAAGTTAAATCAGGTTTCAAAATGTGAGGCATTTCCGTTGCCAAATACTTCCGACCTACTAGATTCGCTCATAGATGCAAAGTGTTTCAGCACATTAGACTTGAATAGTGCCTACTGGCAGGTTCCTATCATCCTATGGATCCCGATGACCGCGAAAAAACCGCTTTCACAACGCAGAATGGCCTACACGCGTAAAATCGTCATGTTGATGCAAGTTGTTAAAAACAGGAGTGAACAATGTTGTGCCGCACCCTGCAAACAGTATTGCTAACAATGTTGTTGAAACCTGTTGAACTATAAATGCTGTTGCAACTTGTTACAACAACATTGCATCAACACTGATGATTCAGCAAGGCTCAACAACATTGCTAACAATACTGTTTCTGGGGTGCAGCACAACATTGTTCACCCCTGATGCAACAACCTGATCAATTTTCGGGCGTGTATATGAATTCTTGCGCATGCCCTTTGGTTTAGCCTCCGCACCTTCAACGTTTCAACGTATGATGGAAATTGTACTCTCTCGCCTTAGTTTTGAAATATGCCTTTGTTATTTAGACGATGTAATAATTTTCTCCAAGACATTTGATGGGCATTGCGAACGATTGCAGGCAGCTCTTTCGCGATTTAGGCAACATAATATTCGCATTAATTATATTCGCATTAAATTGCCAAAATGCAAATTTGGCGCACGCCAAGTAATTCCTGGGTTTGGTCGAAAGACGAAAGAACTTCATGTAAGAGATATTTAAATGGTGACCGTGAAGGCAAAATGGTTGTCGTTGCTTTTGTTCATCCTGATTTGGGAATTGGAGGAGCGGAAAGACTTGTTGTCGATGCTGCTTTAGCTTTAAAAACCCGCAGTCACAAAGTGCATATATTCACCGCTCATTATGATCCATCTCACTGTTTTCACGAGACGAAAGACGGCTCAATTCCTGTGACTTGCATTGGCGATTGGTTGCCTCGTCATCTTTTTGGATATTTTTATGCATTGTTTGCATACATACGGATGATCTATGTCGCTTTCTATTTGGTTATGTTTTCCAAATATCAGGCGGATGTTGTATTTTGCGACCAAATATCCGCGTGTATCCCAGTGCTTAAACTGTCGAAGGCGAAAATTGTGTTTTACTGCCACTTTCCTGATCAGCTTTTGACAAAAAGACAAAGTTTTGCGAAGAAATTATACCGTGCCCCGTTGGATTGGCTTGAAGAAAAAACTACAGGTATGGTGTTTTGCAGGACTGAGCCTGGAGGGACTAGGCAGGTACTACAAACATGTAAACTGTCAAGTCACTCAAATGTACGTATATAGGTCACCCTGGCAGTCCTGGCTGAGCAACATTTGGGGAGTCAGAGGTATTTTCATCTTAAAATGCCGCCAATTGTGGGGCATCTTGTTCAGTCATGCAACTTGTCGCAAGGCTGAACATTGCAAAAGATTGAATACAAGTATTGTTGTTATCCTATAATTAGGACATCCTTGTCAATATGTATCATGGCAAGATACCACACCTGTCAAACAACAATGTGTGATAGATCTGTGATAAAATAACATGTACTGGTATTTATATAATAATGTTAAGAATTCAAGCAATTTCATTGGTCGAGAGCCATGATCTAAAAGAGGACAGACATACAGAATGACCTCACAGAAATTTACGAAATGTGCGTCCTAATTTAGTAAAATTACCAAATTTGGCAGCAAAAAGTACAGAAAATATAGCCATGTTAATTTGGCAATTTTGTTTAATTTTTTTACTAGGCAGGAAGTGTGTGACTAAATTAGTTAAACGATTTCGGCCTACAACAGTTAAAAAGTATACAAAATTGGCTACTTTGCATGGCTATATTTTTTGTAATACTTGACATTTTGGCAATTATACTAATTTTGGTATGCTCTTTTTAGCCGTAGTGATTTAGATTATAAGTAAGGTGTACGTACCTAGATTGTAAGTTAATTGGTCTATTATCCATTATGTTATGGTTTCCGTGTTTGAAGGGCCTGATCTTGGAACAAGCAGTGACAGAGCAAATGTTTCCTCTTAATGCTTGGCATAACAGCTAGGTTCACTAATCTTTATTATCTAAGTTGGGACTTGATTAAAACATTTTAAAATAACAAAATAGGTATGCTAAGCGTATGTGTATCTGCTCACAACAATCTAGTTTGGACAGCAAAATTGTTTTGATCTCCGAAGGGATTGACTATTTACCTCATGAGAATAAGTTCCATGTTCAGAAAAACTTTTATACTAAACTAGGTTGTGGTGTAAGCGCATTATAAACTAATCGCTGATTGGCTAATTATATAAGCCCATCGCTGAATGGTTATGTGTTAACATATGGTATGTTTGAGATCACGATATATCTGCGTTTCGCAGATACAAAATTCTAAAAAAGATGGTTGGAATTCATCTTCGGTTGCATGGTTCAACCTAACCATTGAATACTATGGTACAGTTTTCAATGGTTAATCAGATAAGATAAATTGTCTGATAGACCATTTGGATCAGATTTTTGATAATCATTTTTGGTATGATATTAAGTATGATAATTTAGTATGATATTTTTTATATAATTTCTGTGTAATATATTTATATTATACAGCTTTCTTTTTTAATTCTCATTCTGAAATTGATTCTAAAACTTTAATCATTCAGCATGTTTTATATTTGGATGTGAAATTTCATCCTGCGCTGAACAAAGTGATCCACATCAATATGATGAAACATGTAATTATACAAATGCAAATACAGGCTAATGGGGTTTAAAATATCTTCAAATCACTTCTTATTGAATCATTGTTATGACATCTGCTACCATACTAATTATAATCACCGTCATTTGTCTAATAGATTAATTTTTTTTCATTATAGGCATGGCAAATTGCATACTTGTTAACAGTAACTTTACAGCACGAACCTTCTTCAGAACATTCACATCTTTGACAAATACGAATCCAAGAGTTCTGTATCCTTCATTAAATTTCAAAGCATACAACCAAGGAATTGATTCGGAGGACAATATAGAAGGAGTTCCAGCAACTGCCAAGCATATTTTTCTATCAATAAATCGTTTTGAAAGAAAAAAGAATCTGCAATTGGCACTGGAAGCCTTCGCGATCTTAAAAGATAAAATATCGTTGGAAAAATGGAAAAAAACTCACTTGGTTATGGCAGGTATGGAACGTCTGCTTATTTGGAAAAAAAATGGGCCGGTTGTTCAAAGCCAGGTTAGCGCTAACTCTGGGTTGAATTTCACTTCGCTGTTTTGGTTTATATGCTTCTACACCGCTGTTTCAAGTCTTTACAAAATAAGACTTCTATTAGTCCTCAAAATATTTGTGAAAAAACATGTTCAACTTCATAAACGAGTAATTAAAAAAGATAGACGTGCAAATTGGAGTTAACCCTGGGTTAAGCTAACCGGCTTTTGAACAACCGGCCCCATTTTCTCTATTTTTGGAGTTACTCATTGCAGTTTGAATTAATCCCCCGTGGAATGGGTCTGAGAAAAAAAGTCACACCGCGTATAGTTCAGTTGTAGGGTATTAGAATTTTAACAGTAAATCGTTTGTCCTTCCCAATATAGCCTGTGTTTAATAATATGAATATGTTTACCACCGCTGGGTCCCTAAAATATAGGAATTGCTTGCCATCGGCATTGTCATCTCATATTCGTCCATTCAAAATTAAGAGACGAATAAAGACACGTATAGACGGGCATGCATGCAGTTTTCCTTGAAAAGGAGCCTTGTTCAAAAGCACATGAGAGCCCAGCTTTATATATCTGAGATGAAGTAAAATTTCAGAAAAGAGCCAAAAAGCAGTAATTTAATGATAATGCTAATTAACTGGTAAAAGGCACTGCAAATTAGTAATATATATATATATATATATATATATATATATATATATATATATATATATATATTATATATATATATATATATATATATATATATATATATATAATACAATTGAAGATAAAAAAAGTTAAAAACCATTCGCTTGGTTACTCGAGTGTCACGCCTTTAAAAAGCGATCATCAGACTAATATATAATATATTTACAAAGCATTTATACCTAGAAAACAACCTTAAAGTATTTACATAAGGCCAACAATTAAGTTGAATGCAAATTGCATAAGAGTTGAATTTGTTTTTGTGCCTACATGATGAAATTAGTTCTGACTTTTTGTTCAATAAGAAACGCTTGTCGGCATTTAAAATGCAAAGTTTCTCCGCCAGGCAGAGGTTGCATTGTCTTGATCCACCACGGTAAGCACGGTCTCGCTGTATAACTGACCACTTGATTGAATACTTTATTCTTGATTTCTTTAATTTCCAGAGGTACTTCGACAGCGATGTTTTTATTGCGTATTTCTTCTTTTCAAAGGATTGCTTGTGACCGGCATATTGGGTTTTGAAAGTGTGGTCTGTCATACCAATATAGTTTCTTGTGGTTTGATCTTCGGCTGTTACTGTTGCCTCGTATACTATATTGCTGGTCTTACATTCTCCATTAATCGGGCAATCGGATTTGACACGGCAATTGCACTTATTAGCTGGGGACTCGTCGTTGGCGTCGCGTGTTTCACGTTGGATCTTTGTATTATGGCTCTTAATATTTGCCATATTACTCATACAGCTGTAACTGACCTTCATGTTCGATCGGTTTAACAGTTTGTGGAGAGGGTTGTCGATACATAGTGTGGCTAGGCAAGGCAACCGCATTTCCTAACCAAATTTACGCATTTGATGTAAATCTTTGCGCTGAAACGGAAAATAACAACTTGTTTTTGCCAGAAGGTCTTTTACAAAATAACAACTTGAAAGACCGTCCGTTTCGAAACCAACATTCCGGCCCCTTAAAGGCGATATTGAAGCCTTTACCTAAAAATTATATGGGTTCGAAACTTTATGATAAATCTAAACTAGCATTTAATCGAATATGTGTATATTTGTATATATTGCTCCTGGCTATCGCCGTCTATTAAATCTTAATTATTTTCTACTTATCGTCTGTTGGAGCAGTTTCAGATTCCAGGAAGATAATCTTGTCCACTGGTCGAACCAACACCGATAAGCTTGTCTTCACTTTCACAGAACGCACGAGACCATCCCGACGGTTGGTGTAGACGTCAAGGACGCGTCCCATTGGCCAGCTGCAGCGTGGAATTTTCTCATCGAGGAAAATGGGGGTTTTCCGTAGGTTACGCGATCTGCCGGGAGGCCTGCCATCTTTTGTTCGACGACAGGAGACTGTCTTTTTCTGCAGCTAATACACGCATTCAATATCTTTCGAACTGTAGCCCGTGCTTTGATTATCCAAAATCGCTCTCTTATCAAAGATAACGTGTATTCTATCCCAGAGTGACCAGAGACGTGGTGGTAATATTTGGTGATTAGGGTGACTACGTGGTGGGTTTTAGGAAGGATAATTGGGTGACGAGCGTCATCGCTGATCTGTGCTCGTTGGATGCGACCTCCGACTCGAATGAGGCCGTCGACTAGGATAGGGTCGAGTTTTGCAATACTGCTAGCATTGCTAACCGAGTTGTTGTATCTTTTACTTTGAAGATGTCGAAACTCTTCCTCAAAGCAGCCCTGCTGTACAAGTTTCAAAACTTCACGTTCGGCATTGATCTGTCAAACTGATTGGTGGGATATCTGCTGATGGTAGGGATTCTCCCCGATCTTTCTGTTGAGATTGGGTGTCGCGAACGCAGATTTCTTATATAGCGTAGTATAAGGGCGAATACTCTTCTTAATCTGCTCCACGATGAAAACCTTTCAATTAGTTGATCCGTAAACTGTTTCTTAGAAACGTGCGCTATACTGGCAGCGCAAACAAACGAACCGTGCTTTACTTCGGGGTCGTCGTCTAGGACCGCTGTGGTTGATCCCAGATCTTCAGGTCTCCTTGGCCATTCTCCGGGTGGCTTAGTAAGGAAATCGGGACCCTTGATCCATCGCAGAAGAGAGTCTGCCGGCACGCCTCTTGATGTGTCATCCGCAGGATTTGAACGAGTGTCCACGTAATTCTATTGCTTGGGGGTCGATGCATCATGTATTGTCGCTATTCGATTTGCGACAAACGTCTGAAATCGCTTGGTCGTGTTTTCAATGTAGCGCAAAACGCAAGTGCTGTCAGTCCAAAAGAAAGATTGATCGGTAGGCAAGCTCAATTCATTTCTTGACATCTTGTCGAGCTTCGTAGACACTACAGCCGCTGATAACTCCATTCGGGGTATCGTTACTGGCTTCATAGGCGCAAGTCGGGATTTTCCCATCACGAACAAACATTTGACATTTCCCGATATGTCTTCGATGCGAATATAGGACACAGCTCCGTAACCTTGCTGCGAGGCAAGTGGTGAAGTTGTGTCGATTTGATCTCATTCATTGTAGCTGGTTTGAAGCAACGTTCGACAGCTAAATTTTCAAGTTGAGGTAGATCGTGTAGTCATGCTTGCCAGTGTTTTAGATTCTCATCAGGAATCTTATCGTCCTAGTCGAGCTTTAATCGACAAAGTTCTTGTAAGATCAATTTTGCCGAGAGAATATAAGGAGCAACGAATCCGAGGGGGTCGTAAATCGAACTGACGATCGAAAGTATTCCTCGTCTTGTTGCCGGTCGATCCTTAATCACGATTGCGAACCCGAACGTGCCTGAAGACACGTTCCACCTGACGCCTAGCGCTCTTTCTATTGGAATCTTGTCGAAATCCAAATCTTTGACTTGAGCTGCTCTTTCTGCTTCCGGCAAGGATTCAATAACCTTTCGAGAATTGGACGACCACTTCGATCGTGAAATTAAATCCTCCTAGTGATAATAATTCGCGTAATTCCTTCGAAAGTTTGATTGCTTCTTCTTCGTCGCGAACTGATTTCAAACAATCGTCGACATAAAAATTGCGTTTGACGGTCTCGATGGTTTTGTCGTGGAAGTTCGATGCATTGTCCATCGCCGTTTTCTTCAGTGCGTAATTCGCACAACTTTGGCTAGAAGTACCGCCGAACAAATGGACGTTCATTTGATACTCTTCGGGAGGGTTCTCGAGATTACCGTTCCGCCACCACAGAAATCGTAGAGCATCTCTGTCGCTTGGTCGAACGCGGACTTGATGAAACATTTCTTCGATGTCGGACATGAACGCAATGGGTTCTTCGCGGAACCGTGTTAACACCCCGACGAGTGAGTTGGTTAGGTCCGGCCCCTGTAAGAGCCGGTCGTTAAGGGAAGTGTTGTCGTATTTCGCAGAACAGTTAAAAACAACTCTGACTTTATCTGTTTTTTGTGGATGGAAGACAGGATGATGTGGGAGGTACCAGCGCGTACCTAACGATCCTTCTTCGTTGTTGATTGCTTCGCTCGCGTAGTCTTTCTCGAATAGTTTATCCATGAAATCTCGGTATTTCCGAAGAAGTTCGGGATTGTTGTTTAGTCGTTTTTTCAGCAATTGTAAGCGATGTTCGGCTTGGGTTTTATTGTGAGGTAGGTCTGGTGGGTAGTTTTTCCACGGGAGCGCGATCTCGTAATGGCCATTTCCCATCTTAACCGATTCTTCCATGATGCCGAGAGCCCTTCGATCGTTCTGAGACATTGTTGGGTTAGTATCATATTTGTAATCATTAAATTCGTAGTTGCAGTGGTTTTCGAATTTTTCGTCCAAGGTTAGATTAGCTAGGTTCGCCGTCGAAGTCTTCGCTCCGTTTCTGCCTAATGGACCATTCAGGACCCATCCAAGGGCCGTTCGGGTTGCGAATGGACCACCGTTCTGACTTTGTCGCATTTCACGAGGTTGGAGAGCTTCCGGGACATCGCTACCAATAAGCAGTCCAATGTCTGCATCGATTGAATTTACTCTTCCAATGGCCTTTTTCGGAATTGGCAAGTTCGGCCTTGAATACACCGTAGGGAGGTTGACTTCAGAATTGCCCGCGAGGTCCGAGATCTCCAGGCTAACCATTGTACATTCTTCCGGAACATTTTCGGCTTGCATCGTCGTCAATGACAGCTTCGTCTTTGTACCGTGGATCTCGAGTTCTTCAAGCAATTTTTCGGTGCAGAAGGTGGTATTCGAGCCTGAATCGAGGAACGCGTAAGTTTTTACCGTCTTCGAGCTTCCTTTAGCTTTCACTTCGATAGGTACGATTGCGAGTCCTGTGATTGGA